AGAAGTAACGTACCAAGTAGTTAAATTACAGAAACAGTTGGGCATTTACTACTTTCTGTCAAGGGCTTGGATAGTACATTACAAATTGATTCCAAGTAGTTAAATTACAGAAACAGTTGGGCATTTACTACTTTCTGTCAAGGGCTTGGATAATACATTACACATTAATTCCAAGTAGTTAAATTACAGAAACAGTTGGGCATTTACTACTTTCTGTCAAAGACTTGGATAGTACATTACAAATTAATTCCAAGTAGTTCAATTACAGAAATAGTTGGGCATTTACTATTTTCTGTCAAGGGCTTGGATAGTACATTACAAATTGATTCCAAGTAGTTAAATTACAGATATAGTTGGGCATTTACTATTTTTTGTCATGGGCTTGGATAATACATTACAAATTAATTCCAAATTTAAACTCCGTAAGTTTATCATAATTTAAAAATATGGTGAGTTACAAACGCTTCTATTACATTAAAATGCATCACCACCGCGTTAGTAATGGAATGTGTATCCATTCAATCACAAACTGATCCAAAAAATCAGACGCGACCTGCTGTCGAATTAGCATGGTGTATTCTTTGTATAGTAAATGTGATAAACATAATTTTCATTTAATAAATTTAATTCAAGTTTTACCACATGAAAACTCAAACTCACAATTATATGGTTTTTTTTTTCTTTCTGATTTCTTCAAGAAACGTTTGAATTAAATCAAAGAGTTTCCTATTTAAATAACATTCATCAGCTTTGAATAGTTTGTTTGAATACAAGTTATTAATGTAGCTTCAGAAATTAACGTTTGGAGAAGGATTTATATAAAATAGTGATGTCAAGAGAGATTTGATTAACTTCACATTTGTAAGAGTATCATTTTAATAAAATATCACAAACATTTTCACCTGTCTATCAAGGAAAAAATTTTCATCTTGATCACCAAGCTGTGTAACTAATAACCCATAAACGGCATTCCAGAAACAAAGATTTTTATTAAAACAGCAAAATTTAAAAAAAAAAATCATAACTCTAATGGCCTTACCTTTTACTGTTTATCTTTCTGGTCATTCAATTATTAATAAAAAAAAAATCATTTACATTGTGTGAATTTGATTTTTTTTCTACAATACTAAAAACAAATTATTTGAAGAACCATAAAGTACAAAGGACTAGTCAAAGCTTAAAACTAATATTCTAAAATATGGTATATGTTTTACAGGAACTGTCCTTTTGCACCTTTGTCAATGTGTTATACTTTTTCTAAGTCATTTCTCTCATACACACACATACACATGTACACACTGACTGTTTAATCATAGACAAAAAATTAACACTAAATGGAAAAGTATACACTTTAATCATAACTGTAAAAAATAATGTCTTTCATAACTCTGCTCTTACTGTCATTCTTCTAAATTTAAAATTCTCAAACTTTGTGGTTCATATTTGTTTTTTATAATTCAAATATCATATCCAAATCTATAACTTATGAAAATCAACATTTTTTTTTAGCAGAGTATCGGCTTTTCTGAGATAGTTTTTCACTAAATTACGATTACATAGGATTTAAATGAACTGTTTCAAAAATTTCATAGCCTAGAATAATTCAACAGCAACAAAGCATAATCTAAATAAAAGTTAATCCCAACACATCATGATAAAGACTTTCTCACTAGAGATAAATAGAAAAAAAAATAAAAAATTTAATTGCCTGTTTTAATCATTTTAACATGTTCTTCCCAAGTGTGTAATTTTTTAAAGTCTAACTTTAAATATGTAAATCGTTCTTCATAATAATAATGATAAAAAAATGTGTGCTACATTACTTATCAGGTGTTAGTTATGGTACTACTCTTTTAAACACTCCTTTGCAAAACAGTAGTTTTAAAAACAAGATTTTCTGTAAATTAAAATAAAATTCATGATTTACCTTGACCTACAATGGACTGGTAAATCTAGAGCGTGAAAGCAAACCAATTCCAAGATCATTAGCTGGTTTACTTCATACACCTTTTCCAACTTTGAAGGACAAAATAAGATTATATACGAGTAATAGGCTGGTGTGTTTTATGGTGTTCCACTAATGTATTTAATAATGAAGAGCATATTATTCACAGTCTGCAACAGCAAAGGAAAAAAAAATTAATATACACTTATACACACATAAATACACCTATGTACACAGAAGCCAATCAAATGAGGAAACCTTTACATCATAAAGGAATAAGTTTGCCTAGTGGTCAATCAAAATCAAGGTCCTCATTGAAGTCATACATGGATGAGTTTTGGTGTTCACTATTCATGCTTGATGTGGTCGAAGACTCTCTAAAGCGGCTACTTTCCTGTAATGTGTTAGACGCGCTGCTAGAAGAATCCATTCCAAGTCCACTGCCTCCAATTGTTGTTTCTTCATTTAACAGTTTCCGACAAATGGGACAGGTACCATGCTACACAAGGTATACAAAAAGGTTTAGAATCACTACCTATTCTCACTTTTGAAAACTGATAAAAATATTACAATACATACATACACCCCCTATAATTCCTCAACATTCCAGCTCGTGGAATAGCTAATAACAAATTTTCACAATTTTTAAAGTCAACAACTGGTAATTCTTTAGTGACATTCAAGTTATGCAGGATATTTATATAAAATCAACATTTTCTTTAGCAGAGTACAGGTTTTTCTGAGAGTTTTCATTAAATTATGACTACATATAATTTTAAGTGAATGGTTTCCATAAATTTTGGTGCATAGAACAATTAAACACCAAATATACATCATACAAAATAAAAAAGTTAACCACAATACATGATGATTAAAAGACATTTTACTTCTCACTAGATAAATAAAAAAACAACAAACAACACATACATACATACCTGTACACAAACAATATAGCAGCTCCTGAAAGTTGCTTTCATAATTGGAGGGTCATATAACTTGTATACGAGTGTGACCATAAATCCCCAAATTTTTTGTGCTACAAACCCAACATACAACAACGATGGCTTCATAAGTATCTCAACAGTAAAGTGTTTCATTTAGTAAACTATCTGATGAACAATTAAAATATCTGGTTTTTATGCATTGGCCAATGAACCACCTTTGGGTAAGGGGATTAACTGAAAAACACAATTTTGAGGTAACAGCTAATTATTGTGATGTATAAACATGTTTTCAAAATCTTAGTGCTAATTAGCTAATAGCTAATTACTGTGATGTATAAACAAGTTCTTAAAATCTTAAGAGCTAATTAGCTAACAGCTAATTACTGTGATGTATAAACATGTTCTCAAAATCTTATAGTTTATACTCCAATAATCTTTCCAAAGATTTTATTATTATTAATCTTATTCTCCCAAATAGTTTTAGTTTCAGATGAAGAATAACTTAAACAAAAAAAAACTCACTAATTCTAGCCAGGGTATTATACAATCATTGTGGTAATGGTGTTGACAGGAAAGTTTTTTCACAGCTTCTCCAGTTTTGAAATCTTCCATGCACACACTACACTGCAGATTATGATCTGAAAATATACACATGCTTCACTACTGCTTTTGATACTAATATTTTCCGGTTCTCATTATAATAACTAAACTAAATCACTCTAAACAAATATTTGATTTTTTCAACAGTTCATACAGTAAATCAGTAGCAGATTTGTGGTTGCATTACAGCATAACTCTTGAAAATGATCAATAAAGATCAAGTTCAATTTCTTAAAATGTAACACCTTCAACAGATCCAACAGTTTAAAACACTTTCAACAGATCCAATAGTTTAAAAACACTAGATTTTGAAATATCAGTTTTTATTATTTTGTTGAGTGTACATTAAAGTCAATGAAATTCAAATATTAAATCTCTATTACCCATACATGTCAGCTGCAAATGAGTGAATGAACAGGTTTAAGTATTTTTGGTTTTAATGTTACTGTTATTACTATTTCATTTAACATTATGGCCATACTCATTTGTTACTTTCAAAAAAAAAATAAAAAATAAATAAATAAAAATATATAAATATATATACACACACACACACTAAATAGAGATACATAATAATAAAACAACTTTAATTCAAAGAAATCAAAATCCAATTTATGCTCTTGCAGCAAGGTGAAAATAGAGAACAAAATATCATAAATACATAAAAATACACTGTCTAGTATTAATAAATGAAAATTAGATTTTAAATTTTGATGAACAGTGTAATAATGTATACTTACCAACTTGGTCTTGCTGTATATGCACTGTTGGAATTTCAGAAATTTTTTCTTTTGACAATGGTGGAGGGCCAGTAGTGTCTAATTGGTTAAGAAGCTACAAGAAAAAAGAAACATCATCACAAATCAAAACTGGTCAACATTCTTCAATACAACTGTTTTTCCTTCTTTTATGTTTAAGCAGGACTGAACCCCAGAATTTGTTGTCCCGAGATATTCTCGAAACCCCATTTGTCAAATCAGTTTATCCCATATGCAAAATAACATCTAATATATATATATTTCCTTCAAAACCAAGGAAAGTTATCATTGCTAACAAGTAGAGCTAAAACAATCACTTGCCAAGAAAGAGTAAATGCTGTTATTAACATTTTGGCACCAGGATGTGTGCATCCTGACTAGAGGACAAAATTACACCTTTGAAGTAAAACAAGTTATTGAAAATAAATTTGTAGCTGCTTTTAAATACACCAAGAAAAAAAAAATCAGAGTTGAAATTTATTTCAAAAATTATGTTATAATGTTTTTAATTTTTGGATTATTTCAGGCCCTGAATAAAAACACTAATGTTTGTGAATTTTCTGAAATTTTTCTAAGCACAATATGGCATTCATAGCCTCCTAGGAAGAAATAAGAAATATTTTGGAACAAAACAGCAGTACTACGAGCCTTGTAACTTCAATACACGTGCAGTTTTATCAGGCTTAGCCAATCATTGTTTCTCAACTTCAATTGTTCTGGTGCGATATAACTGCCTATATCTGAGCTTATAGAAGACTTTTTGTTTGTTTGCTGTTAAGCAAAAAGCTACACAATGGGCTATCTGTGTTGTGCCAACCAGGGATACTGAAACCCTATTTTCAGCATTATAAGCCTTCAGACTTACACTGAGCCACTGGGGTTTTTAGAAGCCATAGACTAGGGATCTAAAAATGTAATAAAATTTATTTTTCTGTTCTTTTCACCAGTAAAAGCCAAAATGGCTTCCAGTTCAGCAGAGATTCAAGTAGAAATCAGAACAAAGTGATATATTGCTAGTGAGAAATATGTTTGTGAGCAACTACAGTCCTTATTCTTCTAAAAGCTTGAAAAGTTTGCTTCCTCATTTTATACTGAATTTGAATTATGATGTTGCAATAATTTTGTGAAACAAGATGAGGTAGGCATAGTTAAGTCATTTCGCACTTGATCCTAATTAAGTTTTGTTTTGCTAACAAAGCCACTGTTTGTTATGGTAAGTTTACATAAAGACTTACTGGCCTAAGAAACTGCTGCAATGGGCAAAGTATCACCATAATGAAATGTGAAAAATATACACGTTTTAAACCTGTTTTATATTTCTTTATTACATATAATAAACGAAACCTGACAAACGATTTTAAAAAAATGCCAGCTTGCTTATAATTTTGGTATGGAAGAAAATTACTTTTATTGTATGCCAATTATCATCAAGATGGCGAAACTTGATGTGTCATTTTTTCAATAAAAACAAAGATAAGATTTACAGGTTTTATAAAATAAAATCCTCATAAAAAAGTTTTAGAAGAATGTAGGAAAACACAAAAATCAGTAATTGAAATCTACTACAAGAAAAACATTTTTAATGTTTTTTTAAAACATATTTAAACGGAACCTCGAGGATTTTCAAATTTGTGAATTCATACAAATATCACATTAAAATAAGTTATTTTATTTGCAGTATCTGCATCACCTGTAGAAAATTAATCTCAAGTTTCAAATCATTTCACCCAGTAGATTTTTTTTCAATGCAATAAACAACATACCTGGGCATTTCAGTTAAAATTACAAAACAAACAATAATGAAGGACTATGGAATTGATAAATAGAAATCAAACTTAAAATAATGTGTTTTCCTATAATAAAAAATAATAATTAGCATTAATAAATCATTAATGTATGATGTATTGTTCAATGACGTGTATTTTAATTATATTTCCTCTCCCAATTAACGCGCTCCAATTGCACAACTTTGACTAAATGGGTGTTTATCTACATAATCATAAAATTTATCACCCCTACACACACACATTAGTGAAACTATAAACAGAATAAGTATGGAAAACAGTATATTTATTATTGATAACACAATACTCCTGTTATTGAATGGAACACCTAAAACCTCTTTTTTACAATCATTCTATATGTCTGATTGAGGTTCATTAAAATATTTATTCCGATACTTTATTTTGCAGCTTGCAGCACTCATAACTTCCAGCTAATAATAAAAAATACTGTAGAAACTAGCCAAGGTTTATTGGAGACCCAGAACCTGGTACTTAAAAATGCCAATAGGTTATACTAAGTAACATTATTTTTTGTTAACAATATTCTTGGTCTAGATAAATATACTTCCTTTTCAATGAGTTAAGTTATTTTATTGACGTGCATTGTTTGAATACAATAAACTAAACAATAATATTTAATAGATAGGTGTTGATTCACCAAAATATTTTGCTTGGCCTACCTTACTCTCTAAACCTAATACTGCATACCCAATGTTTCGCCATAGAAGAAAAGTTCTCTATCTTTCAAATAAATATATTTTTTTAAAAATTCTGGAGAGAAAAGAACATACAAAAAAACTACAAAAGAATTTTATGATCTATGGTCTGTTCCTAAATCTTCTACAACTTTTTCTGTTGTTCTCTGCATAAGCTAGGTCTTGTAACTTTCCCTCAAAATTATAAATTATTTGTCACACCACTTTATTTGCTGTACATTGACATTTATAATTATTGGTATTTAAACTCTGCTTTAAGCTATTTAGTAGCTGTTCTATCACCTACTGAGATGTCACAAAAGGGGTGGGAATCCAGAGACTATACTAATAAAATTCAGAGAAAAAGAAGGAAAAATCACTTGAGATACAAAAGCTTGATAGTTATATTCTCAAGGGATGATACTTTCTAAGCAAATACAAACCTATACTTTGGGATAGAATATCTGTACAACGTTTCTTCTCTAACAGTAAAACATGATCACATACTTTAACCATAAATGTTGTACAGAAATAAGACTACTATCCCACAAATAGCCGTTTCAAAACTTCACACTGTTCATATCTTAAATGAGTACCTCTCAAAAAGCAAATGCAAGAAATGCACGCTTAAACATTTTTTCACTTTTGTTTGCAACTTAAACTAAATAAATGTTATATTTTTGACTTTTAATATAAAGTTTTCAAAATATCTCTTCTAGAATGTTCTGTGAAATGCAAAAACAAAAGCCAAGTTTTAAGATTACAATATTTATTATTTCTATTTAAGTGAAATTCCCTTTGAAACTTTTTTTATGGCAAGGACAAAAATTTGGGATTAAATTACACTATACAGTGTCATAAATGCTGTACTACAAGCAAAACTAATAGCACACACACAAGGTACAAACCCAATCACTTCTTCAAAGGTACTTAAATAGTTGTTTTAAGCTTACTTGAGTAATTATTGAGTCCAGCCCTCCTCTACCCCAGGCATAGTCTCCTGGATTGCCATGAAGATTTAGAATCCTGTGCAGAAGAAATAATTTTTACATTTGCCAGAGATGTGTATCAAATTCATATTTACACAGATGACACAAAAATGATACAACACCTAACTATAAAACAAAATATTTCAGTATCTCTTGATTGATGGATGGATGATTTATGAATTCTTACATAAATTAAGTGTAGTCACATTCCTTAAAATTTAGTATTAAAAGATACAATCATAAATAGTAAAAAATAAATTAGTGGTAAACACAAACACTAATAAGTCCCAATAGCTTTTAAATAGTAAAACAGAATAAAAATTGAATATGTATGACAATTTCACTTACACAGGAAATCCGGTATTGGAAACAAAACCTGTTGCAAGAAGAAAAGAAGTATGTCATGCCAGTTTTTATACATAATTTAGTTAAAATACTGTTTAACATATGATCAATTCAAAATTTAATATAATTTTAACATAAACGTGTGTCAGAAATAGAGATAGTTTTCTCTATATACTTCACAATACAGATTGATTACTCTCATTTAGGTAAAAAAAAAATCTTTTAAATTCCAGTCTGAACTGACAAGTGAAAAAACTGGTATTTCATGTCGTATGTTCCAATATATTAATCATTTAACTGATCTATGCTAACTAATTTGTGTTCACAGAGCACTATATAAATGAAAATGGTCTCCACACTAATTATCTTGTGCTACAACATGCCTAGAACTCAAGGTTCTCTCGAATTGTCAGATTTTGTTAGAGGAAGGATAGTTGGTCAAACAGATGGTGGAATAAGTCAGCGGCAAATTTCGCAGAATTTGGGAATCCCGCTTTTGACAGTCAACAGAATCATCGTGCAGATCAGGAAACACGGCAAGGAAACAACTGAGCAGCGTCCGGGTCGTCCTGGTCCATCGGAGAGGACAAAAAGGGCTGTCAAGAGGAGCATCGAAGTGGATCCCAGATTAATGACTGCAGAAGTGGCCAAAGTTGGTGGGATGAGCCCGAAATCTGTTCAACGGAATCACCACAGATTGGGTTATCATTGCAGAGCAGTTAGACGGAAGCCCTTATTAAGACCTGCCAACATAGTCAGACGAAAGAAGTGGGCATGTGATATGATGATCAAGCCTCTGGACTTTTGGAAGACCGTATTGTTCTCAGACGAATCAAGATTCACTCAATTTTCGGACAGTGGAAGGATATGGGTCTGGAGAATGCTTCGCCAAGAGTTTTGGCTCAACAGATTGCAGCCAACTGTGAAGCATGGTGGTTTCAGCATGATGG